TATATTGTAATATTATGTGTGGAATATGTTTAAAGATTTCATAAAATTTTCATTACCCACATGGTCATCATCAACTCATTAATTGTATTCTTATGATATCAGGGTTTGAAGCAATGGGCATTGACTTTTCATAATATTTTAGTGGTTTTTTACATATCACACTATATTTTTGTATTATTTCTTATCATTTACTATATCATACATACTCGATAGATGAAAAATTCCAATACGTATTTTTTTTCAAAATTTTTTAATTTTTCTAGTGTTTGAACTCGAATTTAAATATACAAATTCTACAAAAAAACAAGTGATCATGGAAAGAATATCTCATAATTGAAATTTGTGTTGTAATTATAATTATACATCTATTTCTTTTCCAATTAACACCTTCAAAGAGCTTTCGTAATTATTAATTATTATCATGTCATTATGTAGGTAATATATATATACATATATATGATGTTGATCAAGGGTAAAGCATGTAGTGCCAGCATTGCTTTTGAAAAACTTTGCTGCTTATGTTGGCAAAAGCAAGACGGTGGCGACGTAAAAGCTTGTTTATTTCTATAGTTTTGAACTTTCCTTATTCATACCAATTTCAAAGACTTCACACTGTTAAAAAAAATTACCAATTTATTTATTAACTTAATTTAAAGAGAAAAGGTCCTAAATATACACATATTTTTGGTTTTAACCCTTCAAACATTTTTGTTAAAAACAAAATATGTTACTATATATATTATTGTTTACCATTGGCACAGTATTTTTTATACATAATTGATAATCAAATATAATTGTGATTATATCATGTCAAAATTTTGTAAAATCATTAACGAGATTAGTAAAGTTTAATATGCTTTTGGACCCTAATTAATTAAACTTTTTGATATAGAAATTGACAATTAATGACTAATATAGGCTTAGGATTATGATGATCATACATTATTGGACATCATATAATTAGTTGAAACCTTTTTTAGATAATTTTTTTTTGATAAAAAAGTCAATTTGTCAAAAGAAAATTAAGAAATTATGTCATATAATTAGTTGACACTTTTTTTTTCTTTTGAGAAATAATTTTTGACACATACGAAAATTCTCATAGTTTGGATCTAAAATCTCATATTTTAAAGGAAAATAATTATAGGTGGTCCAAAAATAGTGAATACCCTTTTGGGATTTGATTTTTCAACTTTAATTCAAAACCCAAAACATGAAAATTAATTGTGATGGATATAATTTATGCCGAGCTGATTTTGTCGTGGAGCAAAACTTGTTCACCAGTCATTGTTTTATGAAATACGGTCTTTATCATGAATTAAATTTACAACTCATCTTTAACGAGATATAATTTTATCACTATATATTTTTTTATTTTGACTCAAAAATATTCACAAATTAACGATGAAAAAATATATTCTATTAGAAAAACAAAGGAATAAGACAAAACTATATATCTTCTTGACATTTATTCTGGAAAATATAAGAAGAAAAGGTCAGAGCATGAAAGAGAAATGATATTGTTATATTTAGAGTAATGAAAGTGGCATTAGTCTCTATCATTGATTAGTAGTAGTCCGCCTCTTATTTTGTCGCATAACCCATTTTCTACAACAGCTACTAATACCGGTCAAAATCGTTTTCTACGTTCTTGCATTTTCTAATCGAATATTATTTTTTTACCCTTAATTTGTGATTATTTTGAATCAAATTAAAAATATAATAACTAATTTAATCGATCATCTTAAATAAAATATTAAATTTAGACTCTATCGGATGAAATTAATTAAAAAGCCTGGGATTTGTAATTAATTAACCTAGCTGATGTAGATAAACTAAGATAAAAAGTTAAGTGTTTCTTGCTTGTGGGAAGATCATATACGTACACTACACATAATTGGTAGTAAAGTTCAGTGCCCTAACTTAATCTAGGGATTTAATTTACCATTTTAAATAGTTAAAATTTGAATTTTTTTTAGTGCTGTATGACATATATTTAATTAAAATTTTAGCATCAGAGAAAAACCCAAATAATGGAAATTTTCCGAGACAGAAATTCATTGAAAAACCTAGAAAAAGGAATTTTTATATATATATATATATATATTAATTAATTATTGGCCGACCATTTTGATGTGATAAATGAAGTGATAAAAGTCATGTGGCACAAACTGAATGCATACATTTTTTTGAGAGCAAATTTTTGGTTCAGCTTTCAAAGAAAGAAAAGGGGAAAGAAAAAAAAAATAAAAACAGATTGAGTGTAAAAAAGGGAATGATTGAATGAGTCAATGAAATAGTTTGGTATTGCTTGGCTGGATTCTTTAGTGTGTCACATGCTTATAGCTCCAAGTCAATGAATAGACGTAAATACTCTTTGATATTTATTTATTATTTTATTTTCCCATAATAATGAGCTCATCAAATATTTCTTCCTGGCTCTTAAAAAGAATGAATGGCTAGCTCATGGTTGGACCACCACCCCCACAAACCAACACAACCACACCCCCCCAATCATCTGCCAATCATGGCCCTTTCTCATTGCAAGGTGGTGGGATCTCCATATCCATAATTCTCATGTGGGTTTTGTTGCCTGGTGTCCATAAATAATTCAGTTTTCATCAAAGAATAGCATAGAGAGAATTTCAACTAACATGAGCTCCAATTTTTTTAGTTATTTATGAAGCATAATTGATATATATATTAATTTTGATAGACTTTTAATAGTTTACTCCAAATTATCTTTTTTTTTAATTTCTTTTATTAATTTAAAAAATAAAATGTAGAAATTACTCTATTTTTATATAATTTATATTTATTTAAATCGTTTTGGGTACCAGCACATAAACTTATAATAAAAATAAAGCTTTTTAAGGTAAAAAAGGTTTGGGCATATATAAATATTAGATAAAATCCTAAATGATCATTTTAAACACGTGTTTAGAGGATAAGGATGCAATGGATTCATATTATTCACTTCTGTTTTAATTCTTTCCTACTCAAAAACAATGTGCACTTTCCTTAAAACCAAGAGAAAAACTCATTTGTTGACAAAGTAAAAGGGTTTTACTGTTAAAACTAAAAGCTTGAGCTGTGGGCATCCTTGAAAGAGAAAGGTTCAACAAGTTCAACTATAATCAAAGAAATTAACTACTATGATCCTTTTCATGGAGATGTTGTTGATTAACGGTATAAATTAACAATTTATCTACATACTTAACATGTATCGACTCATTTTTTTTCATATATGTATAAATTCATTATCAATTTCAAGTTATATATTAATATTAAGTAACGTTTTCTCGAACATATTTTCTTTTCAAGATTAGAATTTAAAACTACAACGAAAGAAGAAAAAACAAATTAGAATGCATCCATCATTATCAATGGAGGAATTTGTGTTGCACATGGTTTACCTAGACCTTTAAGGGATGGATGACTTGGGTTTTGTGGAAAGAAAGGGCACCTATAGTTTTATTTCTCACCAACCAATTGCAATTTGATGATATCGCTATCGTTTTCAATAAAAGAAAAAAGAAGGAAAATTGGTTTAAAAAAATTGTTTTAAATGCTTGTTTAGTTTGATTTTTTAAATTTATTTATCTTTTAAAAGTAGAAGTAAGATTAAATAGGATTTTTGAAAAAACTCTTATAATTCTTTTTAAAGAACAAAATTAAAAAAAAACTAAAGAAAAGGTTCAAATAGAAGCTTTCTCTCTCTTTTTTTTAAATATATCAATTTTTCATAAATACTTCTTTTTCCCAATCAATCTCCTTTTCTCTCTCGCTTTCTACAAATCATTTTTTTTCAATGTAAAATCATGATTTCCCTATCCTCTATCTCTTTATAAAGACTATTAGAAAAAAAATAAAAGACCTAACAACAAAATAACAAACTTTAAGATTTTTTTGTTTTTATAAAGATTAAAAGAAAAAAAAAACTCAAAATTTAAAGCTACATTCAGGTACTATTTAATTTTTTTTTTTCACTCAAAAAATTTAATACTATTACTACTATATAAGTTTGAGAGTTGTTTTTTTTTTTTTTAATTTCTTTGATTTTTAACTTCTGAAATTATATATAAACTTAAAATAGACTTGTTTCGCTTTAGTTTATTAATTAAGTAATTAAAGATAGCATGAATGTAGTAATTTTAATTAAAATTAAAGCTTATATAATTTATTTTACCAAACAACTTACCAAACAGTTTTAATTTAATTTTAAAAATTATTTTTATAATAAAAATTTTATAAAAATTTTTAAACTAAAAAAAATTAAACCAAACAAATTCTAAATATTTTTATAATTGAAATTTGAAGTTTATAAGCCCATTCTCAGTCACCAATAAGGGCCCAGGTTGGATTTGGTGTAGCCCATTGGGAACGTGAAGTCCAAGAGCCTAACCCAGTTAATCCCCCCACAAAATATAAAGAAAAAGAAATATTTCTAATGGCTTTGAATCAAGCCTCTCCAATGATTTAAGTAGATGAAGTCTCATTAGAATTTTTAGTTCTTTGCAATTTGGATTTAGCTTTAAGTGGGAAATTCTGTGTACAGTGAACAGAAAATTGCACGGTAATGTAGGAAGAGATTGGGCAGATTATAGAAGGTGGGGGGGAGTGAATAAAACGCACCGTTTTGGGGGCTCAGTTTCTGGCTCTGTGCGAAAGTAGCACCGAACTTTTCATGCAGCTAGGTGTAAGTTTAAGACTTCCCGGATCATACTCGTTGCATCATTTTGCATGCAATTGCGACCCCGCGCAAATCGCTTCTGTGCTATGGCGTCTTTAGTATTCAGCTGCGCACTACGCAGAGTGAAAATAACAAACTCTGTTTCTTTTGCTCTCAACAAAACCAAAACAAAAAGAAAAAGAAAAAGAAAAGAAAACTCTCCCTCTCTCAGAAACTCCATTAACGAAAGCTTCGTTTCTTTGATTTCTCAGTATTTTTTTTCTTTTTAAATTTCAAAAAACAGGAAGGAAAAAAGAAGAAAAACAAAATGTTCTACTCTAGAGAACTCCTTGCTCGCAAAGCTTCTCTTGGCCAAATATGGTGAGCTTTCCTTTTCTCTTAGTCTTTTTCTTTTTGGTTTTATCCATTTTTAACTTCAGTTTTTCTTTGTTTTTAATCTCGTAACATTTGTATTAGTTTGCTGAAATTAATCTGAAAAAGAAATATCTCTCAGATGAAGAACAAGCTATCTCTCTTTCTCTCTCGATGAGAGATCGCCATTAACGAAGCTCCGTTTCTTTTTCTTTTTCGTTTTTTAAGTTTATAAAAGAATGCTGATCTGTTTCTTTTCTTTGTTTTGTTTTTCCATGTTAAACTTAGTTTTTGTTGTGTTTAGGATCTCCATTAACGAGCTCGTTTGTTTTCATGCATGTGTTTGCTCTGTTACTTCGAATTCGCTGAAAGTTCTCTTAAAAAGAACTTTCCGATTTCATTTTAATCTGGATGATAAGTATTCCTTTTACGTTTCATTGTTTAACTTCGATTTTTTTTAAATATCGTAATATTTGTAATATTTTGCTGAAATTTATCTGAAAAAGAATTATCTCTTAGAAGAAGAAAAAGCTATCTCTCTTTCTCTCTCGATGATAGATCGCCATTAACGAAGCTCAGTTTCTTTTCTTTGTTCTATTTTTCCATATAAATCTTTATTTTTTGTTTTGTTTATAATCACAAGCTCATTTGTTTTCATTTATGAATTTGTTCTGTTTATTTGAATTCTTCAAAAGTTTTCTTAGAAAAAAGGAGTTTCTGATTACATTTCGGTCTGGATGTTAAGTATTCCTTTTACGTTTCATTATTAATCTGTTAAATCTCTGTGAAACGTAAATATTTGAAAATGAACTGTCAATTAGTTCTACTTTGAGATTTATTTTCACCTTTATTCGACCCCATTTTTGATAGATTTTCTTTGTAAAAGTAGATCTAATCTCTCTTTTGCTTTTGATGCTCCGTTTTACTTTCCATTACTAGTTTGATCATTTTTTTTTAGTTTTTTTTTTTAAATTAAACGTTCATTTTCAGTGAACTTTTTGTTAATTAAAGCTCCGTTTGGCTTGCTGTTATATAAGCTGGAATAAATAACTATTCTCTGTTGTTTTTTCTTAATTTGGCTCTTTTTTTATTAAGGTTGCTTGGAACTAAGCAGTCGAAGCTCGACCGAAGGAAGGCTAGCAAGCTCGACGTAGCTCAGCTCTGGTTTCTATTTTCCTTTTCAGTTATTGCGATTTCTTCTTTGTTGCCTTATCTTAGCTTGTATTTTAGACGAACTCAGATTCCTTCTTCCTTTCGAGTGTATTTAACAGCGAAGAGATTCTATATCCTCCGGTTCCTATAGCTCTTCGACTCTCCAGCATTCTCATGGGTAAAACAAAATAAATATTAGTATTAGTTTCTATTTTTTCATATGTTTTTAAATAGTTTTCTGAATTTCAAACTCCGTTTTAGTAATTTCACTAATTTTCTCTTTATTCTCTCAAGGTGGAGTTGTAATTCTCTATGAGAAAAAAGTGATGCTCCTTCATGGTAAATAAATTTTGGACCCTCAATTTTTCAAAATCCTTTACTATTTACCGTTTTATTTTACTGTGGTTTTGATGCTGTAGCTTTGTGTTTAACAGATGATGCTAATCGGCTTCTGGTACCAACTTGGAAAGCACTGGATAATTTCCTTTTCATCCTTTTTTTTTGTTCTGTAATTTTCTTCTTCAATTAGTAAATTCGTTTCTGTTGATTAACTGTTTTTGCTAATCGCCTTTGATTTTCCTTTTTTGGTGTGTTTGAGGTTGAACTAAGAAATGCATGGAAGGTGATGGACGAGCCAACTCTACTTCCCAAAACAAGAACAAAAGCCGGGCAAAATCTCTCTTCTGTCAAATTAAAAAAAAAAAAACCATTTGAAGAGATTGGATTTTGGTGTTATTCTGTCTCATTGTCTCCTTTGTGTGCAGGAGAAAAACCATTACTCTACCTGAAAATGAAGACACTAATGTTGGAGAACCTGAAGATGAAGAAACCTCCATGCGGTTTCAACAGAACAATCATAACATGGTAAATTTTTCATAATATAAACTCTCTAAGGTAAGGGTATTTTTTTTTATGGAAGAAACAATACAAAAAAAAAAAACTGTTATAAATGTTTGTTTTACTCTGCCATTAGGTTTGGACAGTTTAAAATACGATGGTTAATTAATATTTTCCCCTGCCCCTGCTGGAGAGAGGTTTGATGGATTTATTATCACTTTGTTATTTGGTTTTTCAAAGAGATATTGAAATAAGGTAAAATAACCTTGTCCTAATTCATGGTGCTTTAACTAAATTTGTTCTGTTTTTCCAAAATTTGGTACTAGGCCTGGTGACTCGTTTCACTGGGGCTTTGGATGCTAATTGGGTGGGCTCGGGGGAAGCCTGAAATGTTACCAAGGGCGGACCTTTTCAAATCTGTTTCCTATACATTAGCACGCACTGCTAAATTGCTAATAATAAGTGTGGACTTTTTCTCATGTTACCACCTTTTGTTCTTCTTCTTGATTTCTTCCTTTTTGCCTTGGGGCACAGACCTGCAGCTATTATTTTCCATTTTTGACAGTTCATGCATTTGTTTCAGTTATTTTGGTTCACCTGTTCCTTTCTTTGGCCAATTCCGCTGTGACTCACCATGTTGAGTCTTCATGTATTTAATCTGTTCACCCTTGATCATTATCAAAATTATGTGAGTGAATTGTTAAGGGAAAATCAGTTCCCCTGAGAAGGAACAACTTAAAATCGAAACATAATCTTATTAGATGCCTCGATCTTTAGCCTAAAGGCCGAGAAAGGTACTATTCTTGTTAGATGCCGGTGGAAGAAAAGTCTGCCACTATGAATGACAGAAAGCAGTTATTAGAATCCTTTGCAATTCCCTTCCGGGCCTAATATTTTGTTACCTTTGATGATATACAGCGACTTGACCAAGTTGATGAATACTATTTTTTCAATGATCCCATGGAGGATAATCTCAACCATGACCACCATCAAGGTTTTTTTTTCACCCCTGAACATTTCCGCTAGATGGTAATTTCGAACATGTACATCAAGCTGAGAATCATACTGCATTATCGACCACTCTTGCTCTCTTTTTTACAGCTGATGATAACGACATCACCTTATTCGATTCATTTCAGCCTAATACACACATTCATGATCAATTTGAAAGGTAACTTTAAAAGCTTAATTCCATAGGGGTGCGCATCTATAGCTGGCAGAGGTTTTAGTTAAGAATTCACAAGGGTGTCTGTGGACTGAATAATTCTCTCAATTTTTCTAACTGCTGTGTCAGATTTGAAGAAGGTGACGGGGAGACGCAACTGAACGTCACTTTAGAGGAGTACATAGAGATTCCAACGACTCCCGTCCCTTCTCCAGCCCAGCAAGATGGGCCTCAAAGAGGTAAGAGTACTGTAATGCCTCAGATGGTCAAGGATAGTGCAAACTTAAACATGCCTGCAGTTTTTGATTGTTTGGGGGAAAGATTTAAGAAATCTGGAAAAAGATATGAAGCTTTACTTAATTTTTAAACCATTTTCGCAGTCCTGCTGAATAATATTTGTAAATGAACCATTCGTATTGATTTTAGATCCAAGTATGCAAACATTGTCATAAATAATTGCTGTTCAACATGAATTTTCTGACCAAACAAGTTTTGAAAGCTTTCCTGTGCATAAATTTATATATAACTGAAAGTTTTCCTAATATCAGTGATCTCTTTGTGTCATTTCAGTTATTTTCCATTTTAGAAAAACTAGGAATGAGAGTGAGCTTGATATTCATGCTAATCTCCTGCAGCTGAAGAAACCCAAGAGCAGCATCTAGAGAACCAATTGGATCAACAACTTAATAAAAACCAAGAAGCCAGAGTAAACAATAATGATTTTTACTAAGAGTTTTGCAAAGAATCAGATGGCAAATACAGCCTGCGCTAATTTTATTCTCCTTGAGAAAACAGGACCAACAGAGGCCAGGGCCAGTAAGACGAAAAGCGAGAAAAGCCAAAGGAATTGCCATAGATGAGGAACAAATTACACTTCCGAACCATGTGTACCTATCCTGGCTTCATGACACTTCAGATATTGTATCAAGACGAGGGAGGAAAAGGGTATGCTCTGCATATTTGCAATTTATCCTATTCATGTTGTGCATAATTGTGTTGCATACCAAGATCACTTAGCCACTAAACTTACCCCACGAGCAAATATTTGTTACACATTATTCTGAACCACACATATCAGAAGCGTTTTGTGCCAAGAAAACAATCATTTCAAGAATCACTTATGCAACATTAGGTTTTTTTGCTATAAATGATGCAGAGGCGCACAAATATCCTGTCTACTTTGAAGATAGCTGAGCTCATGGAGCTCCCATCTACTGTACTAATGGATGATACGTTTGCGAAAGGAAATCAAGACATCCCTTACCCAGCACCACTGTTGGATCTCTGGAAGAAAAGCACTCAACCTCACAATGACTCACCCTCCGGTTAGTATTCACTGCTTCTTGCTTTTTTTAAGTTCTTGAGGAGATAATGAAGGGAAGTTAATCTATATTTATACTGTACACAGTGAGGACCTTACAACCACGACCACCAGAATCATCTCCACCGGATAGAGTGCAGTATGATAATCCAATGGATTATGTAAGTCTCGGAACCAGGTCTTTTAGTTTGCTTCCAGGAAATTCATTTGTAACCCTGTGGTCTGATCGAATTTGGAATGTGAAGCCTTTTGAAGATCTTCACAGTGGAGTTGGTTCCCCTTCTTATGCTGCTACCATAGAGTTACAGCGAACGAGCATGGTAAATAAGGTGACACCATTGGAGACCAATCAGTTTGTCACCCCTGGAAATTCTGGTATGAAACATCTCTCTTTTCTTCTTTTCGGAGACATTGTGTATTAGCTAAGCTTCATGTGCATTTTGCAGGAGATGCAGCAAGATACACCGGAAGCTCGGTATCTGGAGATGGAATCCCCACAAATAACTTAGATGTGAATATTGGAAGGTAAGTAAAAATTCATCTTCCAAAATAGATCAGAAGGTAGACAAAATTTTTATTAAGGAGATGAGCAATGTGTTTGTGATGAACCTATAGGATTGGGTCCAAGAAGAATATTGTGCCATCGACTTCGAAGAACAGTACTGGCAGCCTTGACCCTGTGGTTGAAGTGTTTCGGGAAGCTGATATTGACTACAAGTTATCAAGTCCAGGACCAAAAAACCTGACACCTGATCAAAGTAGAAGAACTCATCGACTTCTATTTTGCCATAACATCTGCATAATCAGTACTGGAATTTGCTTCTTCTATATATATATATTTTTTTCAGATTTATTGGTGGAAACCCAACTTACAATGGAAGTTCCGGCGAATGATCCTCCTGACATAATGACTGAGAACATCAGGAAGTATTTGTTCTTAACATCCATCCGTTTTTTGTTTAAGTTAATAAAAATTAACCTTTGACTTTGTCTGATTCAGCCTAACTTCGGGTCCTTTGTTTAATTGGCTTTGCAGGTATATGAAAGCACATTTTGAAACCCCAGGAGCCCCTCAAGTAGAATCCCTGAACAACTTAGCAGCTGGACTGACTCGAAAAGGAGCAGCTCAGCTCTTCTATCAGACTTGTGGTATACATATATGCAAAAATATGTGATCTATTGTTTTTGAAAGTGTCAAATATAAGCATCTGAATATTGTTTTTGCTTTGCAGTTCTTACTTCTCAAGGTCTCTTAAAAGTGGAACAAAAGGACGCCTTTGGAGACATTCTCATCTCTAAAGGACCAAAGATGTGACACTACAAAAGGTAAGTTAACTGCTGGTTTCGAAAGGAAAAGGATTAATTGGTTAGTTGCTCTTCTCTTTCCTTTTCCTGTGAAACATCGCTTTGAATGTTAATTTTCTTATTTTAATCGGCTTTAGAGCCTTTTTCTTTCCTTGTTTTTTTCTCTTTTGTTAAAGAATATATAAAGGAAAGGAAACAAGATTATGCCTACTTGTGTTGTTAATTTCCTAGTAAATAGTTCGCAACTTGAATCTACAAGTCCGATTTCTCTTTCGATCTCAATTTTACATTTTGAGTTTGTATTTGATTTTCTGTCAATATATTAGAGTTTATATATTACTAATTAAATAAAATAAATATTATTATTTTATTAAAAAATAAATTAAAAAATTAAAAATTGTAAAAAAATAACACTTCTTTTACATACTCCATTCTATATTTATATTTTATATTATGTTCATAGTTTATTTATTTTAAATACATTATTTGTTACTGACTACTGTTTTATAATTAAAAAAATATTTTAGTTTTTGAAAAATTATAATTGTAACATTCAAAACTTTATAATTAAATGCATTAACACTATATAGAATTATTTATAATTAAACATTTAATAATATTGCGTTGTATACAAAAAATTATATAAAATGATAAGGTATTAAATATTGTATAGTATAATGTAATAAAATATAGTGTTTTGTTATCTAAGATTTAAAGATGAATATAATAATAGATAAAATAATCCTAATATTAAAAAATTTATATAATGCTATAATGTGGATATTGTTGTTATAGATTAATATTTCTTAGACTTTTACAATTATTTTTGTTTTCAAAATATATAATATGATTTTATTTTTAAATATAATTTATTCATAATATAAATTGTTTATAATGATTAATATGTCAACATTAATTCGTGTTGGTATAACATATTTTAGTACAAACATAATATTGATTATTACCTTATCAATGAATATTAATCCATTATAATAACATTTAAATTATTATATTTTTAAATATTTATAATCTGAATTAATACTTCAAATAATTACTCACATAATAATATTCATATAATATATTTTAATACTAATATAGTATTAATTTATTATTTTACTGTTAGTAAAGATTAATTAATATTAATAATATGAAATTGTCTTAAAATTTTGGAAATTGTCTACCAAAATATTTTTTTATTTTATTTTAATTGAAATATTGATTCATCTTATAAATATTTAAAATAAATTTATTTTAATTGAAATATTATTTCATCTTATAAGTATTTAAAATAAATTAATAATTATTTACAATATATTAAATTAGATTTTATTATAATTGAAATATTATTTCATACCATAAATATTTAAAATAAATTAATAATTTATTAAAATATAATAAATTAGATTTTATTATAATTGAAATATAATTTCATATCATAAATATTTAAATTAAATTAATAATTATCTAAACTAAAATAAAATAGATTTTATTTTAATTGAAATATTATTTCATAGTATAAATGTTTATAACAAATTAATAATTGTTTAAAATATAATACATATTTGAAATAAATTAATAGTTATCTACGATATAATAAATTAGAGTTTATTAGTATTGAAATATAATTTCATATCATAAATATTTAAAATAAATTAATAATTTATCTGAAATATACTAAATTAAATTTTCTTAGAATCGAAATATTATTTCATATTATAAATATTGAAAGTATATTAATAATTATCTAAAATATAATAAATTATATTTTATTATAATTGAAATATTATTTCATGTTATAAATATTTAAACTAAATTAATAATTATCTAAAATATAATAAATTATATTTTATTATAATTGAAATATTATTCATATTATAAATATTTACAATAAAATAATGACTACAAAATATGATAAATTAAGTATTATTATTTATATATTATTTCAAAATATAAATATTTAAAATAAAATATTGATTATACAAAATATAATAAAAGAAATAGTATTATTAAGTAAATAAAATAAAATAAATATTATTATTTACCACATTAGATTTAATTGTCATATTCCTATAATTCTTAAATATTATTAATATTGATTAGTCTTTATTATCAATAAAATATGAATTAATATTATATTAATATTTATCTAAATACAACAAATTCATTTGCGGTCTTAATAATAATAATAATAATAATAATCCTTATTACTATTTATAATATGAATTAATATTTCTAATAATATGAATTAATATTTCTAATAATTATTATATTAATAATAACAAGAGTAGGGTAAATGTAATAACGTTAAAATAGTAACTATAAAAACAATAGTCTTTATGTTTGATACTATTTTAAAATTTTATAATAATAATAATATTATTATTTATTATTCTATTTAATTTTTTAAAATTTTGTATTAAAATATTTATATAATAGATTACTTTCTCTAAAATTGAGGGAAAAAATCGATGTGACAGTTCATTAAAAGTAAAACAAGCTGCAAATGTGCTCAAGGAAATTGTCTTCCTTTCCTCAAATTTGGTAGACAATTTCCAAAGTTTCTTAAAAGCAAAAAATAAAAAAAAAATTCAAAAGTCATTTTCCTAATTACCTAACTAGTATTTATTTTTTTAAAAGATTTTGAACTTTATTTTTTTTAAAAAAAAACTCCTGTTGTTTTGCCTCCTATTTTGTGTATAGTATATTAAAAAAAAAAGCACTTACAGCTGGCAGATCCATATCTTCATTTCTTTTTTCATAAGCCATCCCAACCATAAGCAACTAATGCACTATATACAAACTTTCCCCCCATCACTCTCCCATTTTCTTGTACTGCACTATATAAGAAACTAAGTCATTATTACCCCAAATGCCGTAAATCTGAATCCCTTCCCTTAATCTCAGCCTCACCTCCTCTCTCTCCTCCCTCTTCTAGGGTTTCCTTAATAGCCAAAATTCCATTTAACTCCAACTCAGAACCCCCCACCCCCCTTTTTTATTTTATTACCCTATTTATATCCTTAAACCACCCAACCATTTCTCACCTTCGCTTCCAAAAAGAATCCTTTCCTTCTCCCTCTCTCGCTCTGTAATGTTTCCTCAGTGGCTAAGATCACCAATCAGGGGAAACTTCACGCCCAAATCACCCTCCCATTTCTCTTTCTCCTCATTCAAAGACATTAACGATATTCTCAAAGAGGAAGAAGACTCCGGTTTCTACCCCCAGTCCCCCAAACGACCCTCCATTTTCCACCGCGTCAAGCTCTCCACCTCAGTCCTCCGCGCCTGGGCCAACCACCGTCATGCTCCCCCTTCTTACCAACAGTCCATGGCCGCACCCCCCGATGCCGACCAGCGCGTCGTCGTTTACCTCACCAGCCTCCGCGTAGTCCGCAAGACCTTCGAGGACTGCAGGGTCGTCAGATCGATCCTCCGAGGGCTCCGGGTCCCGATCGACGAACGGGATTTGTCGTTGGATTCCAATTTCTTAGACGAGCTGCAGGGGATATTCGGGCGTAAGAATGTTACCCTGCCGTCGGTTTTCGTTGGTGGGAAGTACGTTGGCGGGGCCGAGGAAATCAAACAGTTACATGAGTGTGGAGAACTGAAGAAGCTGATGGGTGGGTTACCTTTGGTGGTGGGGTCCAGCGCCTGTGATTTATGTGAAGGGCTGAGATTTGTCCTCTGTCGTCAATGCAATGGTAGCCATAAGAACCATTCTGAAAAATCCGGGTTCCGGAGTTGCACCGCTTGCAACGTTAATGGTCTCATTAGGTGCCCGTCTTGCAGCCCCGGTCAACGTCGACTCACCTGCTCCTTTTCCTAGCTTAGGAAAACAAAAAAGCACAGTAATAAAACAAAGAAAAAATAGTCAGTTTTATGTTATTTATTTAGATAGCAATTTTTATTTCACTGCTATAATTTGGGATTTGTGTAAATGATTTGTTAATATTCTTATTATCCCAAACAAGCAAGCGCAAACTTTTGTTTTTTTTTTTTAAATCGAGAAATTATGAAATTTCATGTGTTAAAATGTTTGAAGGAGAAAATGGAAACGAGTAACAACTTACCAAATTATATTGACATGACAACCCAAAATTATAATTATAATTAAAAAACTTTCCTTATTTATAGAAGGTTTGGTAAACAAGCTAATCAAACAATGAAGAAGCATACTACTATTAATTTGTTATAATAATGAAGGGCATCACCTAAAATATTTATTGTTAATATTTACTATTCCAAACAAGCAAGGACAAATTTTTTTTTAATCTTTAAATTGGGAAATTATGAAATTTCATGTTCTAAAAAAGTTAGAAGGAAGAAATGGAAATAGGTAACAACTTACCTATATGTCTAAATAATTCTTGATATTTATAAAAAAAATCAATAAATAAATTAATCAAACATCAAAATAATATCATTCACTTTCAATAAAAAAGACATTTCAGTTTTATTTGTTAAAATATTGAAGGGCATTACCTAAAATCCTTACTAGCTCTGTTGACAAATGGAGATAAATTTGAAAGTAACGCCCAATGTGTATGTTTTCCAACTAGTTTATTAGTATAGTGGCATCTTACCTGCACGAATGTTAGGTAGTTAATGCTGTCAAGCAAGATAATTAGCAAGACAAGAACAATAACTTTCAAGGTTGCCATGTTAGGAGTAATTAATATATATATTCTATGTCACGTGGTTTTCCATTGGAATCTCGAAGATAATCCCTAGTTTACACACTGTCTAGTTGTTGAAACTAAGTGCAGTTTCTGGCTGGCTTTTGCTTAAGTATACGTTACAAAGGGGAAACTATATTCCACTATGTTTTCAAAAACTTGGGATTTTTGGCTATACTTTAATTAAGAAAGAGTTCTGGCTTATTCTTTCCCTATAGGCTTTCTAGTTTTCAAGCTTAGATTAATTAAATTTTAATAAATCTAAAGTCCGAAGAACTGAAAATCAAATGAGACTTCATCTACTACTTAATCATTGGAGAGGTTAGACTCAAAGCCATGTGCAAGACAAGTTCATAATGATTGATAAGTGCATTCTGATTTTTTTTTTTTGGTTGTTTCCATCTTATATTCGAATTCGAACCTTGAGAGCGTATGTATGAGAAAACATTACTTACCTTAAGAAAGACGAAAAGGAAATTATGGAGTGCTTTCTAAGTTGGCACCAGAAGCCGATTAGCATCATCTGTTTAAACAAAGCCAGAGCATCAAAACCACAGTAAAAATAAAATGGTAAATAGTAAAATTTTTAAAAATAAGGGTCCAAAATTTATTTACCGTGAAGGAGCATCACTTTTTTCTTGCAGAGAATCACAACTCCACCTCGCAAGAGTAACGAGAAAATTAGAAATTTTTTTTTTTTAAAAAAAGGAAAAATAGAAATTGGTATTAGTATTTATTTTGATTTACCCATGAGAATGCCATGGAAACGAAGAGCAGTAGGAACGGGAGGGTTTTGGATCTCTTCACTGTTACATATTATTCTCCAAAGGAAAAAGAAAAAGAATCTGAGTTCGTTTAAAATACAAAGTAAAATAAGGCAACAACAAGAGATCGCGATCACTGAAAAGGAAAAATAGAAACCAGAGTTGAGCTACGTCGAGCTTGCAAGCCTTCCTTCGGTCGAGCTTGGACTGCTCAGTAGCAAGCAATCTTAAATAAGAAAAACAACAGAGAATACTTATTTGTTCTAGCTAATATACCAGAAAGCCAAACGGAGCTTCAGTTAACAGTTAACTAACAACGACAATCAATTTTCACGGAGACTTTTCATTTTCACAAAAATGAATGTTTAATTACGCATTTAAAAGAAAACAAACTATAAATGGAAAGTAAAACAGAGCATTAAAAGAGAAAGAGAGATTAGATCTACTCTTTCAAAGAAAAATCAAGCAAAAATGGCGTCGAATAAAGGTGAAAATGAATCGCAAAGTGGAACGAATCGAAAGTTCATTTTCAAATATTTACGTTTCACAGAGATTTAACAGATAAATAATGAAGCGTATAAAGGAATACTTATCATCCAAACTAAAATGTAATCAGAAACTTCTTTCTAAAGAGAACTTTCAACGAATTCAAAGAAATAGAGCAAACTCATGCATGAAAACAAATGAGCTCCTGATTATAAACAAAACGAAAACTAAGTCTAATATGGAAAAATAAAACAAGGACAAGAACCAGATCAGCATTCTTTTGTTATTTATATTTCGGTTTTTGAAACTTAAAAGACATAACAAAGAAACGGATCTTCGTTAATGGCGATCTCTCATCGAGAGAGAGAGAGAGAGAGAGCTTTTTCTTTATGTGAGAGATAGTTCTTTTCCAGATAAATTTCAACAAAACAATACAAATATTACGAGATTGTGAAGACAAACAAAGACAAGAAACCGAAGTTAAAAATGGATAAAAATTAACAAAAAGAAAAAGAAAAGTAGAAAGCTCACCATATTTGGCCAAGAGAAGCTTTGCGAGCAAGGATCTCTCTAAAAACTGAGAAAACAAAGAAACAGAGCTTCGTTAATGGCGATCTCTCATCGAGAGAGAGAGAGAGAGAGAGTTTTTTCTTTATGTAATCGATACTTCTTTTTTAGATAAATTTCAAAAAAAGAAAGAAAAAGAGAGAGATCACCATATTCATCCAAGAGAAGCTTTGCGATCAACGAACTCTCTGGAGTAAAACATTTTATTTTTCTTTGTTCTTTACCGGCTTTTGGAACTTGAAAAGAGATAAAAAAAAACTGAGAAAACAAAGAAACAGAGCTTTCGTTGATGGAGTTTCTGAGAGACGGAGAGGGCGAGAGAGTTTTCTTTCCTTTTATAGCAAATAGCAAGAAGCGATTTGCGCGGGCCTTTCATTAGTGCGTAGCTAAATAGCAAGAAGCGATTTGCGCGGGCTAGCAATTGAATTCAAATGATGCGACGGCATGTAAACGGGGAGTCTTAATCTTACAAGCAGGTGCATGAAAACTTTCGATGCTACTTCTGTAACGGAGCAAGAAACTGATCCTAAAACGGTGCGTTTTCTTTGCCCCATTTCTTCTGTGGCTAGTGACCCTTTATAGAGTACGTCCCAAAAGTGCAAGACCCGCAGAGAAGCTTCAATTGTAAATTAAATACACTGAATAAAAATTTGTAAAATATGAATGTCATAACATGGATGGAAGGGAGGAAGAAGATGAGGAGGCCGAAGGCAGAGAAGAGCAATTTCCCCTTTGCATAAGGACCTGAGAGATAACATCATAACCCATAGTTTTAGCCATGTAGAGAGGAGAGACCCCTCTTGTGTTCTTGGCCTTAGCATTAGCTCCTTTCTCAATCAACGCCTCCACTGTTTCCAAGTGGCCACCCTCCACCGCCAGATGCAACGCCGTGTGGCCTTCGTTGTCCCCACGTTCCAAGTCCGACCCCGATTCTATGAGCACGGAAACCACGTCCCGGTGACCTTTTATGGCCGCCGCATGCAGGGCGGTGAGTCCATATTGGTCCTGAAAATTCGTGGCGGCTCCATTTTGCAAGAGTGATTGTAGCCGCCTCGCGTCTCCACGTCTTGCCACCATCAGCACTTCCTCTCCACGTTCCATGATCTCCACCATTTCTTCCTACATGATCATGCAATGTTCTTGTCAGTTCACTCATGGAACAGATCTTTGGCAGGCCACGGAAAAAACAAGATAGCTTTCGATTAAAGAACTCATTTAGCAATTAGCATTAGGATTGACCTATGTTTGATTGCAATGGCCAAATTTAATCATAAATGCAATGGCAAGTAAGATATAGAATTCTGATTAAAAATCTTGATTGCAATAAATTTATTTTCAATCGTAAAGATAAGTAAAGACTTGCAATTGCAATCACAATTTATATTACATTGAATTACAATTTTTAATCATAATCATAATATCAAATTAAATAATGTGATTAGGATAATAATTAATCTACGATTGAGTTATGTTTAATTGTAATCATCAAACTTAATCATAAATACAATATCAAGTAAGAAATAAAATTCTAATTAAAAATCTTAGATTACAATAAATTTGTTCTCAATTGCAAACACAAGACCTATAATTACAATCACGATTACTTTAAAATACAATTTTTAATCATAATTGCTATATCAAACTATTAATCATAATTGCTATATCAAACTAAATAATAGGATTCATCATTCTGGTGGTTAATCTACTTCATTAGGATAACCGTTAATCCATGATTGAGTTACTTTGATTGAAATCATCGAACTTAATCCTAAATAAAATGTCAAGTTAGACGTGGAATTCTGATTAAAAATCTTGATAGCAATAAATTTGTTCTCAATCGCAAAAGCAAGTAAAGATATGTGATTACAATTACATTCACAATTACTTTTAATTACAATTTTTAATGGTAATAGTACTATTATTCTATTTGTTAATCTACTTCATTGGCATAATGGTTAATAACCTAATATTCTGAGATTTTATAAGCTTAATTTGGGGATAGGCATAAACTCAATTTCATTGCAACTTCATTAACAGTATGCCTTCGGCTTTGGTATTTTAGGGCCGAACGTTCCATATACCAATAATTGAATGCCAAAATTGTAACACCTCAAAAATACTTACGTGTCCCTTATCACGAGCGATATCAAAAGCTGAACGGCCACGATCATCAGGAATCGTGGGGTCCGCGTCCATCTCGATCAACATTTCTACCATCCGACGGCTCCCATTGGCTGCAGCCCTAAACAGTGCAGTCCTCCCATCCTTGCTCTTTGCATTCTTATCCACGCCCGATTCAACCAATATCTTAGCACACTCGATATTCCCCTTGCTCGCCGCCAAATGCAACGGTGTTCTCCCTTCCTTGTCTCTCCAATCCAACGGCTCGCGTCTCCCCTTTCTTAACAACTCCACGAGTTCTTCCGTTTGATCAAATACGACTGCCACGTGTAGCTCAGTCCATCCTTTTGATTCCCACCGTGGATCCAGCTGATAAAAACCCGCATCATTGCCATCTTCTTCTTCCTCACGTGAGGCTGTCCTTAAACCGGCCTCGAGCAGCAAATTCACCATGTCCTCCGAGTTAGCCAACTGCGTCGCGACTCGGAGGAGTGACTCAGCTTCTCTTGTCGATAAATCATACAAAACCGACTTCTGTCTCTTGATCATGTTCTTCACAACCTCAAAATCTCCACAACTAACAGCATGATGGAGAAGAAAGGGCCCCACGAAGGCGACCTTGAGCTTGATATCGTGAGTTGCCCGAGCAGAAAGCCACGAGTTGACCGAATCGGAGTGAGCTGTCATGCCGGAGTCAAGGTCGAACAGGGCGGTCCTGATGAGGAAACGGTCGGAATGAGAGCGAGGAAAAGTGGGTGGGATCTGGTCTTGAGGTTTAAGAACGATTTGCAGAGCAACATGAGATAATGGGGGAACGAGTCCACTCGGCGGATTGACCAAAAATTTGTGAGGAGCAGAAGTTTGGACCTTGAAAGCAACCGGAAAAGCAGGGCAAAGGGACCTTAGAACCAGGTTGCAGCGGCATTTGCTGTTGAGTACGAAGTTTATACGAACTTCGGGCTCTGAAATTTCCAACAAATTTTCCATTTGCAAACAAAAAATTTGGCGATTGCAAAGAATCCTTTGCTGTTGAAGGTTGATTTGAAAGTTTATGGTATTCTCTTCTGACAATTGTTTGGATTAAAGCTTACATGTGATCTTGTAGGGACCAGATAATATATGTATATACATAGCCTAAGGAATTAGGCATGTGATGGGGAATGTTGGATTTTTATGTAAATGAAGATTTTAATAATAGGAATATTTCATTTAATGGTTATTTATATGTACTTTCACGTTAAAAATGGAAAGCAAGTAGAGATAAGATAACACATAAAAATGGAATAAATGTGGCTTCTTTTACTAATAGGACAAGCTTGCAAGGTTATGTGTTAGTAATAAATAGACATTTATTCTTTAAGACTTTGCACAACCAAAACATTTAAAGATATATGTATCAAGAGAAACACATGAATGTTTGTTCCATGAAACACATTTCTTAAAAATGAATTAAGTATATTTACAATCACAATCAAATAGTTTTTAATATTTTAGCTTCTTTAATATTAATTCAGTGTTTTATCGGTGTATATTATCTATTAACATAGTTTTTGTGTAAGGGTAGATCCAAGGTGGTGATGGTTTTCAATTTTTTATTATTATATAGAAAATTTAAAATATTTAATTTTTATTTACTTTTTAAGTAAAATCCGAATTAAATATGGTAATACTTTTCCCTAATTTTTATTTAATTTTAACTTAACAAGAAAATTCCCAAAGAGTGATGATCTGGTGGGCCTTGCAAATTGCCATCTTCAAGCCTTGACAAAGAAGCCTACCAAAAGTATAAACACATGCAAAAGAACTGAAATTTTCAAAGAAAAAAAAAAATGTGCTACTACTACTACTCAGCCTTCATTCTCTTCCTCTTCCTCACCAGAACAGTGCCCACCTTCACCGCACCTGATCATTTCCTTAAACCTTTAAAATCCCCGAAACCAGAAGTCCAGGAATTTTTCGAGCTGACCAATCCTCTACCGTCCGATCACCTGACTCCCTCATGCTCCGTCACCGTCATCCACCATTCATACGCCAACACCGTCAACTCCCCTCCTTTCTCCAAGCGTTACTCCCCTCCCTCTGATTGCCCTCCCCCTTGGCCACGCGTCGTCCTCGAACTACGCGTTGCCTCCTCCGGTGAACAGTACGACCGCATCGCCGCTATCTGGCTCGATGGTGCCGAGATCCTCCGTACCAGCACGGCGGAACCGACGGAATCCGGAATCTTCTGGAGAGTTCGAAAGGATATCACTAGGTACTCTTCTCTTCTCTCGAAATCCCGAATTAACGCCACCATGATGCTTGAAAACGTCGTTAATGACATTTACACCGGCGTTTACCACGTTCATGTTTCCTTCCTATTTTACAAAGAAAACGTTATCCCACAGGACGTTGGGATTCCGTCGATTATTTCTCCGAATAAAAATAATTATAATCTCGGCACTACTGATATGGGGTTATTCCAAACGCCGTCGGATTTGATAATCCCGATTTGCGACAATGGACAAAGAGGGCATTGGTTCAGGGTGGAGAGCGAATCGGACGTTCACATGAAGAAAGTTCGATTTCCCAAGAATACCCTTCAGGTCGTTTTGGAATTATACGCGTCGTTTCATGGCAACGATGAGTTTTGGTATTCGAACCCGCCAAATTCTTACATCCGGTTGAACAACTTGACTACGGAGCGCGGGAACGGCGCATACAGGGAAGTTTTTGTGACTATCGACGGTAAATTCGTTGGGTCGGAGGTGGTTTTTCCGGTTGTTTTCACCGGTGGGATCAACCCTTTATTTTGGGAACCGGTCGTGGCTATCGGGGATTTTAAACTGCCTAGCTATGACTTGGATTTGACCCCACTTTTGGGATGGTTATTAGATGGGAAATCTCACGAGATTCGTGTCGGCGTCGACGATGCGATATCGTTTTGGCTCGTCAATGCGAATCTGCATATCTGGTTGGACCATGGAACTTCCAGAGTCGAAGCTAAATCCATTGTTTATAACAGCCCAGCTCTTACCATCGAACGTCAGGAGGCTTTCAGATTGCTCGACGGGTCATTTCGGATTAAAGCCAAGCGGAAAAGTGAGTTCGCTGGGTGGGTTAAGTCCAAAGCTGGCAACTTCACCACCATTGTTTCGCAAGAGTTCCGGGTGACAAATTTGATAAGGTTCTACTCCAACGGAACGTACAAGGTTGTGAAACAGAGGGTTAAGGCAAAGAGGGATTCAAGGATTAGAGCTGATTCCGGTAATTTGATCGGTCGTGCTGTTACTCGAAGGAGGTATCCTCTCACTGTGATTACTTCCACTGTTCCATTGGCGCATAAGGCGGATGAATATTTGCTGGTCACGAACGTTTCTCATGCTTTGAATGAGAGGCGAATCAATGGGAATTACAAGCGTATCGTTTACAACAGGCAGGATTCGGAAGGGTGGATGAAGGTTAGGGATCATTCTGTTCTGTCCGGCGAAGCTACCACTTGGCAGAGATACAATTTCAGGGATGAGTTCGGTTGCTACTCCCGGACTGTTCTGGCATTCAACGGCAAGCTTATCGGTGACAATACAACGTTTTCTTGTGCAGCTTCTACGTAGTTTCAGTTGTTTCCCTTGTCTCTGTGCATTACCAAAATTTGTATCGAACATTCCAAATTAACATTTCTTCTGTATGAATATGTGTCAGCTTCAGCTTCTGTGCTTCTACAATGTTATGGTAAATAGCCTCTTATGTATTTTCCACTAGTACTTTTCTATGCATTCCAGATTTCTCCTCCTCTTTACTAAATGAACGTTGAAATTTTATATGCTAACATGGATGAAAACCAATAAAGTATTGGGTAATTTTGAAATATTTCAATTCAAATGTTTTTATTTTAATAAATTTTTTTAATTACTATCTGAATTCGTATTCGAATATTTTAAACATTATTTATTAAATATTAGTATCCGTTAAATGGTTAAATAAAATAAATTTCAAATTAGTTTTTATGTATATTGTTTATGAAAAATAAATTAATAAATTCAAATTAATTCATAAAAAAGATTATAATTCAAAATCATTATTAAGATAATTAAAGAATATTAGTAAATATTACCTTAATTATAAGTAATTTATAAAAAAATAATATATATAAAACAAAAATTTAATATTAAAATTTATTGTTTATAATTGAATTCGGTTAGTGAGTTTTTTAAAATCACTATCCAAACCCATGATGAGTAACAATTTTAATACTCGAATCTTGTCCAAACCCGATTATAGGGTTCTTTAATCTTTATCTACTCGGTTTGAGTAATGCAGGATATCCCATAATAAAATATCATCGACATTCCTATTAATACTAAGCTTCTCTAAACTTCTAGAGAAAGATGGGCAAATACTGATGTAGTGAATCGAATAATCAAAGCAAAGAGAGAAACGTACGTACTGGATAATTCAAAGAGATGTAATAGCTTTCATTGGAAACTTCATTGACTTCACAGAAATTGTCAGGATCTATGCGCTTCAGGATTTTAATTCAAGGAAAAAAATGTGGACGAGGCACGACCGTATGCTGTAGCTTTTCCTTTCGAGCAGTTGAGCAAACTGTGCAAAATCACTACTGGACCTGTTTTTTTTATGGCCAAGCAAAACTCAGATATTTGAATTGACTGATTATTGTATGTTATGCTATAAAGTCAGAGTGGACAAACCTAGGTAGCTGTTCATGCTTTTTTCGTTTAGTCATCACTTGGACGCCAAGAACCCTTCTTGCCAACGAGAAATTGGCCTTCATAAAGGCTCGTTGACCAGTGAAGTGAACGCAGCACCGGATTGAGCTCCTTGATTATTTCCATGGTGTCCTGGACCAAGAGATATCCACCGGGTCTCAATATGCGATCCATTTCCACAGCTACATCTATAATGTCACATCTGACATAGATGCAGAATCTCAGATCAGATTCCAGGATAAATCCTGATAACTTCAAATTTAGAAGGATAATGCAGTAACTGGCTTTAGTCATCTATTAGTAATTTATTCAATACTCGAAGTATAAATCAGTGATAAAGCATAAAAATAGTTAGATCATTACTTTATGGTATCAAAACAGCATACCTCTCTTTAAGGTTTCCGAAGAGAAAGCTGGAATGCAGTATATCATATGTTCGAGGGTAAGTATTAAAAGACTCACACCAGTCATGATAGACTCCAATCAATCCCCTGTCAAAAATAACGGGCAAAGTATCTTGTGCATCAATAGGTACAACATTCATCACCCAGAGTGGTTGCTCAATAAGTGCTGCAGCAAATCTGCAAACCACAAATTCCAAAAGTAGTTGTGAGAATTCTTTACCTGAGAAAGTTCAAAATAATTTGTTACTATAATTTTTTAAATTTAAACATTAATACGTTTGAGATTACAAAGAAAACAAGAAAAAAACAACAGAGAAGTCTAAAACTAGCAGACATGCAATAAAATCCAATGCAAGAATGAAACAAGCAACCTTTTTTTTTATAAAGAAACATCAAGTAACTTAAAATATTTCTTACCCTCCATAACCAGCATTCATATCCATCACGTTTCTAATGCTTGCCCAGTTTATAGCCAGACCATCGAGATACACATCTGACACAAGTGTTGCCCAATGTTTCGAATCCTCATTGAAAATATCTTTAGCATCTGGTTCAGATGGAAGGCTTGGAGGCTTACTGCTAAGCCTTCGGGGCCATGGTTTGGGCCAGCTGAGCAAGTTATCCATGTTATCAGCTGGAAGTCTGGAAAGACAATAGCTAAGAGGCTCATACCTGTAACAACAAATTGACATCATCAGAAGCATTTTCAACATAAATAGAGGGTAACACCAGATATGCCAACATTATTTTAGTGTTTATATCGCCTTTGCCAAGAAATAAGAAGTGGAAGATAACATAGCACATCTGTGCATATGCTCAAGCTTGTCTTTGAGTGTGCAATGTAAGATGTAGATATAAATCCTAAATAATTACCATGAGATGTTCTGGTTATTTTTCTGATCACACAAGGGCGGACTTTTTTCTTTGCGTTGCTCGTAACAGGAATACGAGGCAGGCTTTTGATATATTACAAGCCCAATTCCAGTTGAATCAACAGTTTTAGCCACAACTTTCCAGCACATGGACGTCGTCAAAGCCACCATAGCTGAAATAAGTCCAGAATATCAGATCAACAGCACATTCAGATTATACTAATTAAACAATGAAAACATAAGTGTAGGTGGCTAATCATAGCAGGGATAAAACCGGTTAACAAGGAAAATTTAAAGAAGGCATTTTTGTACCCCCCCTCTTTTTGAGGGCGTAGAGAGAGAGAGAGAGAGATTTATCCTCACACTTCCAAACATTACGATCTCTCTCATCGTCTCGATAAACTGGTGTAGCAGACCATATAAAGTATCCTCCTGGCCTAAGAATCCTGTTCAGCTCCAATAATGGTTTCCCACCTGCATTTTTCATTCAAAAGCATCACAAAAGTCTCAATGATTCCATGATATGCTAAAAATAGAAAACTGAAACAATAAAAATAAAATTAACAACATGGTCAATCATATGCTGAAAGGGGTTAATAAAAGATGTCATACCATCCCCATCCCAATGAACTCTGCATCGTGCACAATGTATCAAATCATATGCATTGTCTGGAAATGTCAGCTTTTGTGTACCAATGACAGAAAGTATAGCAGGAATTCCCCGCTCTAGAGCAAACTGTATCTGAGCTTCGTGTTCATCCTTTGGGGCAAATGACATGGTAATTACACCTTTGTCCAGCAAAAAACCACCAAAGCTGGCAACACCACAGCCAACATCCAAAATGACCCTAATGTGCTTCCCCCATTGAATAGCTGGTAACGTCTATAGAAAAAAAGAAGGGAAAAGAAGGCAAAGAGGTTCAGCAGAAAGTAACACAAGTTTTTTTGGGGTCTACTCTTCAACCAAGTGCAGACCAAATTTGATGAACAAATCAGCGATCAAGTGTCAATTTGCAGAAATATTGGAAAATCCACTGCATACCTTTTTTATGAAATCAATATAGCTAGTAACCCCATTCTTAAATTGTGTACCACCTCCAGGGAAAACGAAATAATCACCAGATTTACGCACCCAATTCTGTTCCTTCTTGTATTCCACAAGCTTAGGATGAGGAACATTGTCATACCAAATCTGGGGACAAGCAAGAATAGGTCATATCATGCACATTTTTAGCAAGTAGAACAGCATTAGAAATGTTTAGACATGACAAAGGTTTTTCATACTATAAGTTTTAGCACCCAGCTTCCAGCTTCCCAAAATCTGTCCTTAATATCCGACTTCAATTCTTTGAATTTCACTCGTCAGTCACATAAATAAAAGTAGTACTTCAGTAGCCTTATATTCACTTAATTCCAACTATGCGTCAGAGAAACGAAACATTTTAAGAGCAGTATTATTAAAATCCAATTTTTCAAGTCATTTAGCTCTTCAAAACTTATCCTAACGAGTCCATTAGTCAAAAGCCACCCACTGATGTTACCAAATTTTATCACAAAACTTTCATTTTTCAGTTATATTATTCTATAAATCACTTTCAAGCTCACATCACCAGAACTATAATTTCTAAATTAAACTATAAAAAAAATCTATAAATTAAACATTATTTCAAAAATTTGCAGTGACTAATCCAACTAACAGAAAACCTAACAAAAACCAATAAACCAGAATAAAATAAAATAAATATCTTACCAAAAATAAAAAGTAGTAGTAGTATCAAACAAGCTCAAGCTCACCATGTCCCTGCTCTTAGGCCATTGAACCGGAGCCTTATAACCACTCGGCAAGGGCACCAAACATCTCGGACTCGGACTAGGGCAATGTCTTTCCCTGTGCTCCATATGCTTCCTCGATTTCAGTTCTTTTATCGCTTTCCAGTTATCCAAACACGGTATGTAATCCACCGCCGCCGCCCCTAGTTTGCAGTTCCCCCATTGCACGTTTAAGCTCACACTCAAGTCCACCTCAGATGCCACGACGTTTCTGGACCGCGATTCTGGCGGGAACCGAACGGTTGCGTTGGGAGATCGTGATCGTAAAGAAGGCGGCGGCGGAGGAGGAGTAGGAGGTTGAGATTGGGAGACGTGGAGATCGGAGGAGAGAGGGAGGGAAAGGAAAGGGGAGAAGGAGTTGGTTAAGAAGAGGATTGCGAAGGAAATGAGGAAGATAGAAAGAGCGAAAAGGAAAGGATATTTCCGTTCTTTGAAGAGGTTGGGAACGGAAATCGGCATTTTCTTTTTCTTTTTCTTATCTCTTTGTTTGGATGGAGAGAAAATGAGAGGAAAGCGATGGAAAAATCTTAGCTGAGGCAGGAAAATCCGAGAAAGGGAAGCGGACGCGGTTAAAAGAGAGAAGGAATTCGAAATGTCGTTTTCCTTTTATTTAACGGTGCAAGTTGGTTTAATTCTCTGCCCACGGTCGCTGAGTCTTGCTCTTTGCTGGTTGTTTTGTTTAACAGAATTGAAAACAAATGGGAACAAAACCCCCAACCGCTAGACACCGGAAAAGTAAGGTTAATTTCAACAGTAAACGTCAGTTTGGGCTCATTTGGGCATTATGTATCTTAGTTAAAACTATTTTTTGGCCCAAAAACGCCCACCGTGGGGCTCGAACCCACGACCACAAGGTTAAGAGCCTTGCGCTCTGCCGACTGAGCTAGACGGGCTACGGTTTTCTAAGATTTGTAATGTCGTAAATTTTTTTGAGACGATAAAAAAAAAGTTTCAATGCATTGAAAAATGACTTTATCATTCTATTCGTATCTACACAAATATTTAATTTTAATAAAAAATTAATCACCATTAGATTCAATATAAGTTAATATTTTCTATTTATATGATTTGTTTTATATTAGTTATTATATGATCACATCATATGTCATATGAATAAAAAAAGTCAATTTATATTATATTTGATTGTAATTAACTTTTTATTATAATTAAGAGTTTATTTGAGTACAAATCAAAAGATAATGACTTGTTTAAGTATTGAACCTACTAGAAGAATGATCTTTAAATGCTTAAAGAAGAAGAAAGATAGGAGGAAAGCAACAAAACAGCCAAGAACTATTGTTAGAAAAATAGGGAAAAGAAAGGAGAAACTAAGCAACAACTTAATTACAAGTGTATGACATCACAAAGAAAATACAATACCGAAAAAGAAAAAGTGAAAGCATGCTATTAACAACACATTACAAAGCAGGAGAAAAGCAATAAAACCCCAAGAAGAAAGACTCAACCAGCATCTCTCTTTAGAACAGCTCAACCATAAAAAGCTAGGAGGATCGGATTAGGAGTAATTAAGAACCACAAGCCAGACTTGAATTGATTGAAGATTTGTCGTTCTTTGTCCTTTCCAATAAGAACACAAGCTCTCGTTTTGTGTTTTTTGAGTGTATAATCACAGGAGCTAAGCACAAGGTCAAGCAACTTTTCAAACAAAACTCTTCTCTCTCTTTCTCTTCTTCCTAAAGTACTACTTAAAACTACTGATCCAAGTTGGTTAACAAGCATGGCTCCAGGATTGAACTCTTTGGGGCTGACGACCCTTATCGTAGCGTCAGCAAGAAACGCCTCGACGTACCGGAAAAATTGCGAGCAGCTCGCTGAGCACGTGAAGCTGATAGGTAACCTGTTAGAGAAGCTGAAATCGACGGACCTGGTAACTTTGCCAGCCGTAAAAGAACCATTGGATGGCCTGGACGAGGCCCTGAAGAAAGCTTTGGACTTGGTGGAGAGTTGCAGGGACAAAAGCTGCCTTTACATGCTTGCCCTGGGATGGAGCATCGTCTATCAGTTTCGCCGAGTCCAAGCTGAGATTGGTCGATACCTTCAGCTCGTGCCTTTGATTTCACTTGTTCACGAATTTCAAATGCAAGTAAGCTATACTGTTACTGTACATACTCATTTTCTTTTTTCTTTTTGAGTTACAGTAAAATCAAATATTAGCAGTTTCTGTTTTGAAAGTTGAAAAAGGCTGTCATGCTTCTATTCGATGATCTTCTTTTTCCCCATTTTCTTGAAAAGTACGTGGATGAACTGTTTTGTTGTTGAAAAAGATGGGTTCAAGTTCAATCAGGAGAGTGGCATTGGCCCTTGCATTGTAGATTTTTCGGGTTCCAATTGTCAGAACTGGGCCCTAGATGACATGAACACCTAAGATTCTGTACAAAATCTTGACTTCATCAACTGTTTGTCGGTGCAATTTTACTTCACTGTTCAATGCAAGTTTTCATGGATGAAAAGAACAACTAAAAGGAGTTTTGTCTTGGAATGGTTAAACCAGAACTTGGAGGAATGCTTGCAGGCAATCGAACAGGATCGGAGGGAATACAATCTGGACAAAGAGGATGTGGAAGCCCAGAGTGTTATACTGAAACCTGACAGAACAAAGAAAGATGCAAACATATTGGAGAAATCCCTGTCTCGCAGGTACCCTGACCTGAGATTCCATGAAGCTTTGCAAGAAGAAAAAGAGAAGCTGCACGTTGAGCTGCAGCGATCACGAACCATTGATGATTCTAAGCAGTGCCATGTGATTGAACATCTCATCGATGTCACTGAAAATGTTGTTAATGTGCTCCCTGGAAAGGAGGTTCATAAGCTCCTTGTCAATGAGCCAGCCTATATAATAGCGGGGTAAATACTTTCGACCTGACTCTTAGCTTTGTCTTTTGTCTCTCATGTAAGAAACCTCAATTCAGAAAATTCTACATTTTCTCATAAAAGAGATTCGAACCCAATTTTTTGAATATCAAGATATATACACTTATTATTGAATTAATCGGTTGTTGATTACCCAGAACAGGTACATGGCCAATGAAAAACCTAGAGGGGGAGAACTTGGGTTGAAGACTGAAGAACGATGTCAATCCGAATGGCAGGTTGATCTTTTCGATTGTTGCAGTGAACCTTGTTTGAGTGAGTTGCAACAAAATTCTTCATAAACTTTGGCTTATTTGATATGGAAAACTTTTGATTTTCCCATAACTCTAAACATTATTCTTTCATTTTCCAGGCTTGAAGAGCTGCTTCTATCCTTGTGGAGTTTTCTCAAGCATAGCAAATGTTGTCTCCAAGGGAAAAACCTGTGAGATCCTCCTGCTTAAGCCTGGTTAATTTGTTATCCCAAGTCTGATTGTTGTGTTTTTACACAGCTCGAGAACAAGCCATCAGTGATCTAATGGCATACTCCCTCATCTGTGGCTGCTGTTGTTACTCTTGCTGCATACGGAAGAAACTGAGAGAACTTTTCAAAATAGAGGTATTCACTGGTTGTACCGGAAATTTTGCTTTAAAAGCTTTGAGTTTGATTCTGATACTAATTTCCATCTTTCCAGGGAGGTTCATGCGAAGACTATCTAACCCATCTCATCTGCTGCTGCTGCGCAATGGTTCAGGAGTGGCGTGAGCTGGAAGCCAGAGGCTTTGAAGGTAAAACTACATGAATATTTCTTCTCATTCATAACCGTGAAACCTCGTTAAAAATGACTGATAATGCTACTAAAACAAGTTCCTGCTAAGCATTTCTTTCAGTGTTAAGAACTAAAAATTTCCTAAGCATTCATGGCTGACTCATGATCAGTGCTGAATTTAACCTGTACATTCAACTTATTGCAGGATGTGACGGGAGAGAGATGATTCCTCCGCCATACCAGTACATGAAGCCTTAATATCCCTCGATATATTGACATAAATTGACTGCAAAATGTTTACATGATATAGATATCTATTGACAAATGTATCACAAGTTTTACGCTTGAATAATCTCTCATATAACTATCAAATACGCATGAAATATATATAATACACGTCATTAGCAACATGCTACATAGCTATGTAATTCCCATTATTTTAACAGTTTGATCAGCCTGTTTGATGTAGTTTCCTTTGTTGCAAACAGTAGATTCCCATTTGCTAGTCTCTAATATTTGTTTTTTCCAAAAAAAATAGTAAAACGAAGAAGAAGAAGAAAAAGATAGTATAATGTTGAGAATCTGACTCCGACATGAACCCTTCAATCAGAAAAACCTATCGTACCAAGAATTCTTGTTGTAGAAAAATTTTGTTTTGTGTTAGCATTGGAGTCAATCCAGAATGAAACTCTGCTAGAATGTAGTGGTGCCCGTGGCTGAAAATCACACCAAGAAAGGAGTGGCAACAAGGAAAATGAGTAAGAATTTATACCTTCTTATTCGTATCTTGAGAAGCAAACTACAATTCAACTCTGTGGGACGGAATATCATCGTTCCCCAACCCAAAGAACCAACGAAACAGTTGCGATAACTTACTGGTTTCAGGCTTCGGCTTAGGCTGATCAAGATTCACATTGCAAAGGGTATTGTAATCATGCTTTAAATGAGGCCGCACAATTCTCTCCTGAGAATGTCATGAAAGTTATAAGAAATAGAGTACAGTCAATATTTTGTCATTATTTTCATAAACATAGATGATGGATGATTATAGTACCTTGAAAACTTCAAATGGACAGAAATCAGTACCATCACAACCCTATTTATAAAAAAATAACATTAGCATCAAATTGATATTAGAAGATATTGACATAATCACAAATAAGAAAAGGTGCATCCAAAAGTAGCATGTTCCATAACTTTCCAAGCACTACGAAACCAGGAAAAAGGTAAAACTCCACATTGTCCTAACTAGAAAAGACAAAAATAACTCGTCTTTTGCTGGTATAACCTGTTAATTACTTAAAGACTAAGCGAAGAAACTATGCAGTCAAAAATAGCTTACTGGCATTGGGGTGGGATGCTCATTGTGTAGGACTTGCACAAAGTACTTGCTTGAAAAATTTGCAGGACAACTGTATAAAGCCAGCATATTATTCCCAGCAAAAGGTGCCACAGTGCTGCCTCTCCAATTTCTATTCTGGGGAGGCTTTGGAGGGAGACCCAAAGGCTCCTCCTTTTGTATTCGTTGGAAATCTGCAATGTTTAAATAAACACCAAAATATCAGCATATAACAAAAAGTTTATACATTTGCAGATAATCGTGCTTATACTTGTAGTATAAAAAAAAATCATGAAATGATAAAAGGCCTGAAAGCACTGACCAGATCCTTCAAGGAAAAGCCCAAGCAAGCATGAAAAAGGAACCACAGTTTCTGCATGTGCAAACCGCAGTCTTGCCTTCTCATAAGTGCCAGGAGCTTGGTTATCTACACATAAGAAGGGAAAAAATCAGAAGTCAAAGTTGGGAACAAGCCATTATCAAACATCATTTTACAACATACATCAGTAATCCATAATTACAAGAAAATATATCTGATCTATTTTAGGCTCAGCGAGCTCTCAAGAAACTGTGCTATGTTGGGCCATATAAAGCATAAATAACGAATGGCAACAATAGCAACAATAACAATACTTTTGATTTATTGAGAAGAAAAAAAAAACAATACTCTTGATTTTTTCCTAACTTTATTCTCTAGAATAATAACTTGTAAGAAGAAAAGTTATAAACAGAAGAAGTCAATTATGTAATGCATATGCTCAGATGGTAAGACATAATAGTTGCAAATGCAAATTATTCTGCCATTGCCGACCCTAGACTGTAGTTACTAATAACAATAAAGAACAGAATCACTACTGGATATAGTAAGAGAACACTTGATAGGCAATTCAAGGATAATCATTTCAATAGGCTCCTCACTTCTTGACATATAAAGACTACACAACTAAAACCTCATCATAATACTACCTTCTTTAGCCTTGATAGCTTCCTCCATGGATTGAACAACATCTTTAAGTAAAGGCACTCCCATTCGATAATTTAAGGATTTACCGTAGCCCTTCAATATAAACACCTCCAAATCATCCGTCCACTCCAGCAAAGCAACCTAAATATTTAGACAGCTTTTGCAGGTGAAAACCATAAAGCATAGAAGATAACATGATTCAATAAAAATGTATAGCTGAATTAGTTTGACAGATAAAAGGAATAAATCATCGGAAGCGTATTCCTCAAATTAAAGATCTTTTTTCATTTTTTATTTACGGAACAATGATAAAATAACCTAAACTAACAGGCATTTATCAAAAGGCCTTTCTCCTATATATTAATACATGTGAAGATCAGTAAATGCATATATATTAGATTAATATTTAAACATGAAAAGTATAAAAGATTTCAGCCGCAAACTTATATCATCTGCAATTAAAGATGATTTATATATTTTTTAACAAGCAATAGTAACATCAATGTTTTGAGAAAATACCTAAATTCCAGAAAAAGAGTTAGGGCCCTACATACTAAGAGTATTTTCAATATGATAAATAATGAGATACACATAGAAAAACTATTTCCGATCTTTCAAATGAACAGATCCTAACTCCAACAAAATGTTATGCCTGTTTTCTTCATAAAGAGTAATGAAGTATGAAAATACCTCAGTGGGACTGAAAAGACTGCAAGCTTGATCGGTTATATCCAACAAGGATGTTTCCTTCCATATCGAAAATCCAAAGGAACCAAAAATATAAGTAAAAAATTGAACTGTGAAAGCAATTTCTGATTTTTAACAGGATATGGACCATAAGATTTACATGAAAAGAAGATGACTACCTGTTTACACAGAAACCAGAGAGAAGATATATCCTGTCGTGTGAAATTGAACTCATATCGCCTTGCTAATGCAGAGGTAATTTCGTCGAGGATTGGTTCTTTCAGCTTGTCAACAGCAGGCCCATGGTTTTTCCTAAAGTCCTGTACTTATATATCCAGATGAAATAAGCGAATGAAAAAACAAACCTATTAAATTAGAGCACAATGTCTAAAAACCAATTTTTGCATAAAGAAAGAAAAAAGTTCAATGTACGAAAAACTGGAAACACATATACTTGTGTTGTTGCTTGAATAATAAGGGAGAAACATCATTTGTACCTTGTAGGTTTGACAACAATCAAAAAACCTCAAAACTAGGTCACTTGCGCGACTTTCACTTGTAACAGCAAAAGCTCGATGACGCCCTGGTCCTAGACTTCCTTTGCCACTAAATAGCCCCATGCCAAATGCAACAGCACTAGCAGAAGCCCGAGGAACCTTTCCCATAGAATAAGAAAGAGATGCACATGAGTTTTAACTAAATCAAGAAAAACATATACACAATTCGGCCAGCTTCAGAGCTGGAGTCATAAAATCAAAGTAATCAAAACTGGCATCATCCAAAAGTGAATATAGGGATAAAGAAAAAAGGGTGTTGAGTGCTCAGGAAGGGAGTAGTTAAGTATCATCCATATATTACGCCAGAAATTCCCAAACGAGTAAACAACCCGTGCCATCAAGTTGAAGGAATATCTCTGAATAAAGCATTTAATAGTAGAAGAACATAAAATTTCAAACATAGAACTCACCTGTGTTGTCTTTATGGGATACACATCGGGGTGGTATTCCACATTAAATATATCAGGAAATCTTTCCCTAACCCTGATTCCAAGCTGATACACTTCCTCTTCTCCTTTGATATCCAATTCTCCACCCATCAATTTTCCTTTCCAAGGAGATTCCCATTTCTGCAACCAGGCAGGAACTTTCTGCAGGGACAAATTCTTTTCTTTGGCATCTTTTAGAAGTTCTTGTACATGAGCAGCCAACTTTTCCAACTCTCTCATCCGCTTCTTAGTAGGAGAACGAGTTCCATGTCTTGCCTAAAAATTTGAATTGAGATCAATCTCCCTTTTAATTTTAATCTTGTAACAACCAATTTTGGACATTCAACAAGTAACACATAACCACACCGAAAATTTAAAAAAGACTGCAAAAAAAAAAAAGCGGTTTTTAAACAATTCAATAAGTAACACGCAACCTAATCACTTGCTGCTATAACTTCAACAATGCATTTTTTCAAAGGGTAACACATTCAGCAGCAAATCTTAAAGATATCCAATAAAGCTAAGAATAGTAAAACATTGCACAAAACTTATCCAACTTTTTCCATGCATCAACAAACAAACTTTGCAGTAAATCTAACTCAAAATGAATTCAAAATGCCTTCCTCATTTCACAAAGATTCGTACTCCTAATTTACGAATTATCATCCATGCATATCATTCTGTTTTTTGTTTTTCCCCAATTCAACAGTATTCCTAGCTATCTCAGAGCAATAAGAATTCGAAATTTATAAAAAGAATTTAAAGTTACCACGAGATTCAAGTGGATAGGAGCACATCCATCAGGAATATCAGAAGGTACAAAGGAATTGTCGACAATATCTTTCACTGCACTATATCTGCTCGAAAAAAAAAGAAGAAACAACAGGAAATAATTAAAATAGAAAGATAAACCTGATCCAGAATTGTCTCATTTAAACTATAACAAAGATTATAATCGAATTTCGATTAAACGGAGGAGGAGAGCGAGAGAGAGCGAGACCTTGTTACAGTAGATAGGTGTTGGCGCACATCAAAATCTTGATCAGCTTTTGAATTTGAAAACAACACTGAGATAAGCAACAAAATAGCAGCCATAGCCATCTTCTCCGGCGGCCGTGTTAGAAGAAAGAACAGGAGAAACGGAGGATATTAATTGAAAAAATTGAAAAAGTGAGAATAATTTCTCGAAGGCCCCCAAAGTGTAATATGTTAAAAGTAATTCCGCTACAGTGTAAAATTCAATACAAATACATTCGGAGAGGTTTTCCGCGTTTCTGCTTTTCTCCACGTTCTTCGAGGACCGCCAGATGACAAACCTTTCGTTCTTTCTGGTCGGTGAAAAACGGTCAAAGCACTCCACGTGGCAGTTTGACGAGACCTTTCTTAGGGATGTGGGTTTGGATTATGGGCAATTATTGGGCTTCTTTTTGGGTTCCTTGTATCCATTGTCAATTTATCATGGATTTATGGGAAGGTCCAAATTTATGTTGGATCAAATTTTCCCCCATTTTTAATGTGTAAATTTATTATTACATTTTTTAATTTAATTTAAAATAATTAAAAATTAAAATATTTATATTAATTATTCTTGATATAAAATTTTAAAAATCTCTTAACTAGTTAAAAATTTTAAATAAATCACTATTCTTTTATTTCATTCATTCAAATATTTGTGTTTTAATTTTAAATTAAATAATTTTTATAATTGAAAATTAATTAATTTATATTAAATCAAATAGTAATTTATTAATTATTATTAATTAATATGTCATATAATATTAATATAAAAAATGAAGTATCGAGTATTATGTCATGGTATTGAATCAATATGCATCATCGTAACGAACCAACATGCTACACAAGCATCACGTAAGCCTTTTAGCATTAGGTTTGTGATGAGAAGGACAATGAAAGCCTATACCCTCGTATAGAAGCCGATCTCTGCTATGGTCCCACAGAAATCAAGAAGAAAGTGAAACAAAGGAAAATTCTTAGATGGGATTTTGTGGCCTGAACAGGTTGAACCGTCACATGCAAAAGAAGTTAACAGTGGGTCTGAAAGAGAAATTTGGTTTGCCAAAGTTCACATTATCTCAGACTCTGAGTTGACTGGCATTACCTTTGTTGGTTAGCAGCACAAGGTTTGGCGTGAGCAGCTGGGCAGAGATCAATTTTTCTATTGGAAAGACTTTTCTTGGATTGATCTTTTTGGGTTCATTTTCCCAGTCATAAAGAACGAAAGGAAACTAACTTTAAGCTATTATATGCCAACTATGCAGGATTTAAGCAATGGAAAACAGTTAAAACATGTTGCTGGGGCAGTATGAAAAGGAGAAAAATATTCATTGGAGAAAGACCCAAGATAGCAAATCCATGAATCTATAACTGCTTCGATTAAGAGGACTTAAAAATATCCCATATAAGCTCTGATCATCAACACAAAAGTTTCTGTCTGCACTAATTATACAGCTTACAACCAAAATCTCTTGACAAGGAACTACTGACACAAGACCTTATAGAACAACCTCAGAGATGGAACACATCAACAAGTTTCGGTATCATGCAACAGCTTCCTCTCCCTCATGAAGAAGCATCTGATCAAAATGCCACACCCCTGGAATATCCACCGAAGATAAATAAGTTCACGGAATGAATAAAATACTAAGCATAAAAGTAGATGAACAAGATGAAATCATGGTCACATACAGTTGGTTAACATGAAAGTTTTCGCAAAATGATGACAAGTAAAGAGACTTCAGATTCATACCATGTCCTTTTCCAACTCTTCTTAACTGAGCCACATATTCTGATATTTTCTTGATGGCCTCCACCTATAGAGAAAGCAAGCCAAGATCAAAAGCATGAGATATTGTTTCTGTTATAATTTCGGCAGACATGTGTTGGAAAAGCTAAGTTCTTAAGAGTACAGCCACCAAAATTGTATTTCACCTGCTCAGCTAAGTATTCAGCTTCAATAAAATCTGCCAACTGCACATCGTGGTTCCGTTCAGCAACCTGTTTGGCAAAGCCTTGAGAAGATTAATTCAACGAAAACCATTTGCTATCATCTTAGAAACATCCACAATGTAAAATAACATGGCTGTTGAAGATGGTGTTATCCTATGAATTCATAAACCAAATCAATGAGACCTTAGACCTTATTAACATGTTAATTCAAACAGAAACAGGAAAGCAAAACGAGGGAAGAAAGTCTTACACTGTGCAAGTTCAAGAGCTTTGCGTTTGTTAGTTTCTCCAGGGACAAGGTAAGCTCCATCGCTAAAGCAAGGAATCAAATACAATCAGTTTCAACCACATACGTATGATAATGCTAACAGCTAAAGCACATTTTACTATTTTCAACTTATTTGACACGATCATGCAGTCCAATCCGGTATCAAGAAAAACAATGGGATTATATATAGCACAAAAGCCAAAATGCTACACGGAGTTAACAGAAGTGAATGTTCAAAAAGTATCTCTTCCTCGTCCAGATTTCTAATATATAAGCGCACCAAGCATACAAAGTTTCAAACATTCCTCCACAGTAGCAACATGAATCTTTATCTCATTGTTTTGTTCATGTACAACAAGGGAGTGAAAATAAGAAATGAAACACATTTTACCAAACCAACCATACATTTAGCTGCAATAATTCCAACTCACCATACAATGCATCTCCTTTCTCTGCATGGTCAAACTCAGAGAGAGGCATCACGATGGACTGCAGCTTCACTTTTCCACCTCGTTTGTTCTGCGAACAATAGACGCATGTGAATCAGGAAAACAAATCACAGGGACAAAAAGAACAACCAAACATTAAGCAAGCAACAGGTAGCATAGATAAAAAGAAACCTGGTATTTCATCAGTTTCTCAGCATGCTCTCTCTCTTCTAAGCTCGATTCCTTGAAGAACCTGTTCACCAGGAAGCCAGAAGTTAGCTCAAAAGGAAAAAGGGTACACCAAAAGGCTGAGCAAGATCGAGAATTTTCATGACGAATTACTTGGCAAGACCCCTGAGCGCAATGTTGTCTCTGTCGAAGTAGGCAAATATAGCATGGTACACATAGGAGACATTGTATTCGACACTGTCATTCCAAAAGATACGCAAGAAGACATTAGAACAGAAGCATATACACATAAAAACAACACAGCAAAATCAGAACTTCATCAATTCAACACATCTGAAAATCGATTAGAAAATTCTTTTTCTTTAAAGAAAAGAGAAAGAGTCTAGGGGTAATTCCTGGTTTTCACTGGCAATAAATCATAAAATTGAATTGGCTTTATAAAGAAGTAAAGAACAAAGCAAGAAAAGGTAAATCTTTTTTCTCAACTAGATAAGCAGATCAAAGCATACAAGAGCCATCTTTTTCAAGAATCTAGAAACTGACACCACCCACAGAAATACTATAAAAAAAGAAACCTTTTTTATATATAGAGTTGACTCAAAATCTTCAAGGAAAAGAAAAACTCACTTGATTTGTTCATTGACAGCAGCTTCACACTCATCAGTATACTTTTGACGAGCCAAAGAAACCTGAGGCACTTTTGGGACAAGATCAAGCTCCTTCTTGACCTCCTCGAAGGGCTCAAAAACGACACCGGTTAGTGGCTTGTTGTTGGCTCCCTTGGTAGCACAAACAATAACAGCCCCAGTTCCATTTTTCGGAGTGGAAACCCGAAGAGTCGGAGAAGTAAAAGAATTGAAAAGAGAGCTTTGAGATGAAGAAACAGAGGAAAACAGGGGACCCTGATTTTCCACTCGAGGATTCAACAAAGAAAAGGCTGGAGCAGCTTTCAGCAACATGGCTCAAAAAACGGTAAACAGACTCTTCAACGCAAAGGCAAAAGATTAAACAGAGACTTCTTGCAAACAGGAGAAGAAGAATTGAAGGGGGATTTGAAGTAAGGCTTACTGTGCGGTGGATGAAGATGGGGGAGGAAGCAAGCAGGCAGGGCGATAAAAAAGTAAGCTTGGGGATGGGCTTGGTGCCATTAGATGGATGACACGTGGACGGTTAGGATGCGGTGGTGGAGGTTGGGAGCGTGGCTGGCTCGTGGTTGATTTTGGAGATATCCAGTGTCCTGGCAGCCTTTACTAGGAATTTGCGATCCTCAAGGGCCACAGCAGAGGTTCTGTAACCACTGTATCATAAATAATTTGTCGGTACGAAATAGATGAGCAGTAGTTCTTTGTCCTTCCAGTTGTGTGGCAAAAGAGAAGACAATCAAGATGGAATATTGTATTCTATATTTTTTTTCTTTTTGCTGCTATTTTATTTAAAGCTTATGATCTTTTGAGTTGGATACTAATTTTTATATTGTTATTTTTTTACTTTTCTAATAAAGGATGGTAACAAATAAATGGATATTCTTTATTATTCGATTCATTTAAATAAAATTAAAATATTTTATAAACAAGTTCGAATAATATACGAATTTGTGTGGGGTCATATTTAGTAACGGATGCTTACATCATTTTTAACCAAATAAACAAGTTTATATTTTAAACATGTTTCTATTTAAGGATTATTAATTGAGTTCAGATAAAATATGAATAATAAACTTTATAATCAGATTCAGGTATAGATATAAATATTTCAAAATTAGAAGATATCCTACTTGTTATTATTCTTATCTCTGATTTTTTTGTTTTTGTCACTTACTTTTGATTGCAAGATTTTCTTTTTTTTAATCAGATATTGTTGAAATAATTTCCTTTTTTATGTAATATATTTATATATATATGTATTTTTTTACTACTAATTTTTGTTTTGATAGGAAAGAAAAGGCTACTTTGAATTATCAACTAGCATGGCAGCAAGTTTTCTAGAGTTCTAGCATTATTATTTTAATTTAGAGTTGTTGAAATTTTGACAGCTGAGACAATTGGTCAAACAGTGGAGCCTAGAGTGTACGTTTTTACTTTGATTAAATGAGAGATATTTGTCAATTTGCTTTCAATTATTTATGGAGTATTTATTGATATGGAAGGAATAATTGTAAGATACAGATAAGGATAGTTTTACCATTGATTTTTAGACTAAATATATAATTAAGTCTTTGAATTATGTCAAAAAAAATTAATTCAGTTTCTATCTTTTTATTGCATTCAAATAAATTTTTAAATTTTAATTTCGGATCAAATAAACCCCTCTCTTTAATCGTTGATTAACTTTCATTAGTCAATAGTACATGTGATACTTTTATATTTTGTTATCTGTCATATGATAAATTACGTAACATTAATATATTGTTGACTAAGATTAAGTAAATGAGTAAAAGAGTAAACACATAAATCT